AGCCAGGGCCAATCGAGTTGAACTATTTCGTTTTGAAGTAGTTACTTACTGATTAAAGTTGAAAATTAGTTACATTAAGTCATCGTAACATTTACATCAGATGATCTTATAGGAAATATTTGAACGCCATTATATAAAACATGTGAGTAGAGAAATGCTTCCAAAAACAACATACTTAGTTTTTATGTATTTTGATAAAAATGTTTTATTTTCATTACTCTGAGGTGTATTGACAAGGAGATTAAGCGAAAAAGAAACAACAGGCTACAGTATGATTTCACCCTTAAATGACTAAATTGGCTTAGCAACAAACAAAAAGAATGAAATATTTATTTAGAGAACTGATGGAAATCATCAGGTCGAATAATGTAGGTGCATATGTGTTTGTAGATTTGTTAAAATTGTCAAATTGTTCAGGGTGCCAAGTGAGAAATTCTGTTTGATAAATTGAGTTAACGACAGCTTCGTTAAAGTTTTGTAGACCATCAACGTTGATGATCACTGTCAAATGATTGGAGGCCTACTCGAGTTAGAGGGAAACAGTTTGACGAACCAACTAACATCGAAGTCAAACCTCGCTGTCAGTATCTGACATGGATTACCTCTTCGACGTATTAAAGTAGTATACCTGCTTTGAAGACCGTATAACACAAAGAACGTTATTATGGAAATATATTGGTAAGAATAAGTACAGAGAAGATAGCAAGACCACCACCGCATGCGTCAGTCCATGGTATAGGATTAACTGAAATGCGTTGTTTGTCCTTAACTTTGACATGGATCGATGATTTGTTCTATATTTAGTGACCCAACTGCCGGATGATTTGGCTAGGGCTCAGTGACATTTCACTGCCCCTACAGCATCAGGTATATACTCTTGATGAATGGTTATAGGAGTAAAATAAATCTAGCTGTCTTGTTAACTGATCAAGAATGTTTAACCAGAGATGACAAACACTATGTACCAGTCTTATTTAAGTAAAAAATGTCCATTATTTTGAACTAGAGGTGAACTAACACAGTGTATTGGGTAGTAGTACGTAAGTGGTAAACCAGTGTGAAATAGTTTTGCGCCTAACTAACGGTTTAATTGACTTATTTTTTATTTATTTAAACACATATATAGTGGTACAAAAGGGCACCAGATACATATGCGCCACACAAAATAATGAAAGTAAGAAGAGAAGGGATGAAAAGATAAGGCGGGCTGAAATGTACAACCAGAAGACTCTTTCAGTTAGGAAAGTTAGAACCACTCTTTATGAAGAAAGTAAAAGAAGGTTGCAGCAGGATCGACACTGGCTTCTATTCTGAACCATATCTGATAACGTCTATAGCCACTGTGTTGCACCATCTCTCGGACCCCAGCCAGGGAATCGTGAAGGACCAACAGAAGTTAGCCCTTTGCAGCTTTCTTTCATACCACGACACCATGTCAAACACTGACCTCCTCTCCGCATTTTTCAACCAGTCCCAGAGTCGGCAAATAATGTACGATGTGGAAGTCTCTGAGACAACATTCGTAAAACATGTCCAAGCCACCGAAGTCGGTGTTTCAAGATGGTGACACCAATTGAATTATCGTCTCTGCGCCCGAACACACGGTGACGAACCTCTGCATTACTAACATGGTGTTGCCACTGTATGTCAGCAATCCTTTGGAGACAACAATGATCAAACACAGAGAGTCGTCTAACATCCTCAACTCGGAGAGGCCAGGTTTCACAAGCGTATAGCAAAACTGCTCTCATCGACGCGTTTTAGATCCGACCTTTTACAGCCAGACTAACATCACGAAGGCGCCAAAGATGGCCCAGATTGGCATAAGCCGCTCTGGCTTTCATTAAACGTGAATCAATCTCATCACTCACGCCCCCGCCAGCATTTATGTAGCTAGCTAGACACACGAACTACTTCAATCTGCTCACTATCCAGAGTGAGTACAGGATGAGAATCCTGCCAGTCTTGTAGAAGTACTTTGCACTTGGAGGGTGCAAAGCACATACCGTACCTATGGACACTGATCGCCAACTGATTAAGTGCGGATTGCATGCCTTGGGTATTATCGCACAGTAAGACAATATCATCCACATACTCAAGGTCGAGAAGTCTTTCTCCAGGCAGCAGATCCACACCGCCATTACTTACATCCATCAGAGCTGTTTCCGGAATGTTGTCGATGGCAAAGTTGAAGAGGAATGATTAGATTGGGCAACCCTGCCTAACCCCACTGCTTGAATGGAACAATGGAGAAAGGTGGTTGTATGCCCTCACTCTGCCTGAAGTGTTCGTATACAAGGTCCTTAAGATGTTGATAAACTTTTCAGGCACACCCTTCTTCAATAGACAATCCCAGAGAACAGTCCTGTCCAACGAATCGAAGGCAGCCCTGATATAAAGAAACACTACGATTGTTGGCCTGTGATAAGTATGACGGTGTTCTAACATTTGGCAGAGGGTGAAGATATGATCAATGCATCCTCGACCAGAACAAAAACCAGCCTGTTACTCGCGAGTCAATCGTTCTCGGGTTTTAAACAACCTACGAAGAATGATAGAAGCCAATAGTTTGGACGCAATCGGAAGTAGACTTATCCCCCGATAGTTGTTACAGGAACAACGTGAACCCTTTTTAAAGATAGGGACGACTATCGACTCATTCCATGATGTTGGAACACTTTCTTGCTCCCAAACCTTTGTAAACAACACAGTCAATTCCTAAGTCAGAAAGTCATCACCATCTTTAAAACGAGCCGGATGTAAGTCATCTGGGCCCGGTGATTTGTAGCGTTTCAAGAGTTGGAGTTCCTTGCGGACTTCCGCCTCGTTTGGTCGACCAGTCGTCACCGGCCATGGTGGGCAGGACAAACTGGTTGATGTTGCCGGAGCAGTAGGCCAGTTGAACTGCCCTTCGAAGAATTCCGCCCATAGAGCACTTTCTGAAGAAGAACAGTTAACTGGTGATAGAATTTGTAGTACTTCACTGGAGTCTTGAATACGGGTCTTGGATAGACAACAGACGTCAACATTAAAACTCCAAAGACATAGCCAGCCCCATCTGTTGTCCGATCTGCATTAATGTGCGAACGCTGAAGGAAACCAGCTTGAACGGTGTACGTGGTTTCAGAAAGACTGCTTCAGTATTCGTAATCGGTGGAAGCATTCACTTTCAACCAGACAGTGACTGGAGATCTTTTAGATAGGACAGAGTTTCCACTATGGGCGAGCTGCTGCATAAGTTGGAAAGGAAGGATACACAATTTGGGAATAAAGGGAGTGAAAAAGCGACGTGGTAAATAATGGTAATAATAATAATAATGGTAATAATAATAATAACAATGATAATGCAAATTGTCTTTCTTCTATTAGGAACGAGAGCATTGTAGTTTGTGTAATGTGTCATTTCATGTCATTTGTGTGTAGGCTGTGATACTGCTCAGGTGCCCAAACCGAAGCTGGTGGTTTTCTTAGGGGGCCACACACGGAGCCTTTGACCTAAAGGTCTGATCCACAAGGCAATGGAGCATCGTAAGGAGATGCAGTCCAACGGTAGCCGGTGACCAACAGTTGGTTCGTACGCCATTCGTTCCCTCAGGATGCTGGAACCAGCCCATGTGCATCATTGGTTTTGAATCAGGGTTTTCCAACTCCCCTAGGTGGACCCTCCGTATCCACCAACCTGGTTAAAGTGACGGACATTCCCTTTTCGTCCGCTCACTTTTGTGAACAACACCCCCGCCACGAGAAGGCAGTGATTAGGACTTCCCTGGCAGAGGCTATATATTCGCGTGGCCATGTGAGAGCGTTTCGAGAGGGAGAGGTGACTCTCCCCACTCTCTGCCGTATCAGGGCATTTGGGAGCACACTGGACGGCCGTTTCGTCCCATTATGGGACTCCTCAGCAGTGCGCATCCACGAACCCGCTCTCGCAAGATTCAAATCTAGAACCTACCAGTCTCGAGCCGAAGCCCTCAACTGATAGACCACTGAGCTCTGCTTGGTGTGTCACCAAATAATTTAGGCTTAGTTACTCTGTACTGATTAGTTAAGTCAATTGCATATAGAGTACTTGGGAGAGGTTTGCCAACTTGCAATATTATTGCAAGAAAGTATAGTCCAAAAAGCCAATATTATTTGACACTCATCTATTTTATGTAAGCTTTACGAAGTGGATTTGTTTTCCGCATTAGAACTGAGTTATGAAAGTAGAAACATAGATCAGATCTCGTGCAACAACATCAAGTAAATTTAAACAAGCAAGTGGCCATAAGGACTCAGTAGCTAAGTGGATAACGTGATGACGTTTGAAGTGGACGGTATTGAGTTCGAGTCCCAGAGTGAACATCAACTCTGTGATGCAGGTGCATCCCAAATAGAACGAAATGCGCGTCCTGGATTCAACTCTTGGCCACCATCCTTCTTTGCTTATAAAGCTTGTGACTTCAGGCAATATCGAGACAGTCTGCACAGGATGCACATATGCCAAATTGCAGTTTTAAATAACAATAGGAAGATACAAGTAAACAACATCAAGTGAATTTAACATATTAGTGACTATTCAAAACATTAATAAAGTTTAGACCTGTTTATATTTGGGACTAGTTATGAATTAGTTTACCTATTGGTTCAATTCATTTATATAGTAGGTGGATTTGACCTATCCGAATATAAACAGACAGCCTTAACTGTCTATCCACTATTATTTCATGATAATGGGTCAAATTTAATTTATTAGCCTAAATGACAATCATAATATTAAAAGACTAATATTTGAACGAAGAATATTCTTTTCGATAAATTCTCTTCAGGTTCTACAATTATATATCCAAATTAATAATCCGAATCATAATATTAACCTTTCATCATTTACGCATTTGAAGCATAGGATATCTTTATTTGGAATAGTATCATCACATTCATAAGGAATGTTTAATGTTGTCTTCCTTTAACTATTCCTTATTAAAGTTCATTTTGTCTCATCTGTCTCTCCATCTCTCTATATGCCATTGACTTCTACAGAATCATTATCATTAATTAGTTTAGATTCATCTAAATCATCTAATTTATGTATATCAGTGGATATACCATCATCACCAAAGGAATCTATCAAATCATCATCATGTAATAATTCACCTACATTTAACATAGCTGACATTTTATCAACACATTATGAAAGAGACGAATTCAATGAACAAATTGATGTGAATAAACAAACTTTTAATGTGAATAAAAACTGTCATATTGCTCAAATGAATACAAATGATACACTATTAAATAATGGTAAGTAATCATATTATTCTACTGATGTCTAATGTTTGATTTGCGTGAGGGCTATGATACTGCTCAGGTGCCCAAACCGAAGCTGGTGGTTTTCTTAGGGAGCCACACACGGAGCCTTTGACCTAAAGATCTAATCCACAAGGCAATGGAGCATCGTAAGGAGATGCAATCCCATGGTGGCCGGTGACCAACGATTGATTCATACACTATTTGTTTCCTCAGGATACTGGAACCAGCCCATGTGCATCATTGGTTTTGAATCAGGGTTTTCCAACTCCCCTAGATGGACTTTCCATGTCCACCAACCTGGTTAAAGTGCCGGACATTCGCTTTTTGTCCTCTCAATTTTGTAAACAACAGTAATGCCACGAGAAGGCAGTGATTAGGACTTCCGTGACAGAGGCTATATACGGGATGATTATGTAATAAAAATATAAAATATTTAACTGAACGGTGTTCTTGTTGAGAATATTATTTATGGATGACTTTTGAGCGACGCTAAGGTTACCCTGAGAGTGTCCATCTAATAACTAAGACCAAATAAGGGTTTATAAACCAGTGTGAAGAATTAGAATTATGATTTACAGTTGATTGTTAAGGTTGGGAATTAGACTTATGGTTTTCATCACGAACTGATATAAATTAAAATTAGAACGGGGGTTTTTGTGGAGATTTTAGTGAAGCTTCATTTGACTCATGATTTCAACTATATAAACTAAAATATCCAAACTCTAGCCAAATGGATGAGTGAATTTCGCGTCAATATATTATTGACTCAAAAGTCAAAACACGTTTGAACAGAATAACATGAATTGGTTTTTTTTATATTTCGTTCAATTATCGTCAGCTCTGACAATTCCTCGTATTTTGATATTGATATGATCAATTTAAAAAGATAGGGTACATATTTGTGAATTTGTACCACGTCTACAATATCTACCATCTTTCTATTTATTTAGTGAGCGAAAGTTGGATATATCAAAGCATAATTTTCATTTGGGGTTTCATTTCAACCCCTTTCATGTTTTTTGACATTTTCCATTGTGTGGCGCATATGTACCTGGTGCCCTTTTGTACCAATATATATGTGTTTAAATAAATAAATAAATAAAAACATTTTCCATCCAGAAAGTTGGAATGCACTAGTATCATGTTTATGGAAGATATATTGTAGATAGCTTTGGATTATTATAATGGAATCGTCAGTGAAAATTATACTCTTATCTACAGCTCTCACTCAACAAACGGACGGGAAAATGCTGTAGAATACTGGATATTTTACAGTTATTTAGCATCCTAAAAGGATGACTGTCCTCATTCAATGTAACTAAAGGAACTAAATTAGTCATAAGTTAGTGTAGCGAAAATCTAGTGTTAAAAAGAGTAGGTGTGTATTTATCACTATTTGAACGACGTATTTGAGACTCGTTAGCTGTTTGTACCTTAGATTGAATTTCAGTGTAAATATCAACACTGGGATTCTAATATTTCTGACTGATAAGTCTGGAATAGAAAAAGATGTGAGTCTTGGATTCTACTTCTTGGTTCAATACAACTTTAATAAAAATGAGTGAATAAAATGTTATAAATATATAGCAATCAAATATCCAGAAGGTGTTTGGGAGCACCACTCAGGATTGTTATTAAGACTTATTCACCAGATAATTGGGTATGAGCTACATCATAAGTGTGAGAGATGATGATAATATGCAGTTGCTCAAGCAGAAGTAGGTGAAGCAGGGTTTAAACTTGGGACTTAGTGGCTGAAAGAAGAACACCTTAACTATTAAGCCACCTCTCCAGTGAATGATTATATGATTGGCTAAATGAACATTGGTTAATAAACATATGTGATGAGTTTTAGCTAAGTTGATCATAACATTATATTTATGAACTGAGAAATTGAAAACGATAATGTGGTCAAATAATTTTCATTTGATGGTGAAAATCTATCTTTTTATTGGTATGAATGTTGTCTGATCTAGGAGAAGACAAAGAATGAATCTGCCTGCGCTAGTGTGAATGATTTTGAGCCCTATCACCCAAATACTCTAACCATTTGTTACGGTAATCGTTCAGATCTTAACCGGGTAATCTGCACCTACATACTTGGTTCAGTTGAACAGTCAGTGTCTTCTTAGAGTAGCCGACCCTAGCCTTCTTCAAACCGACACCCTACGCTAGCCGTTATCTCACACGGCGTAGTTATTTGGATAGACATACGTAATACATATCATAACTATTTCAGACAATAAGCATTCATTATTTCATCACTTGATTTGCTATACAAGCAAATGCTTATGTTCAAAGTGTTTCATTGTTATATTTTAATGTTAAAAAGACTCATTCAGAAAATAACACAATGGTATATTGGATATAGCAAATAGGTGACCTTAATGAATACCTCCAGCAATTTTATTGTTAACTTTTATTTAACAATGAATGTCAATCAAATTTCTACTATTGTGAAACAGTGACTTTTATTTGAATATATAATTTCTTGATTTCTTTGTTTTACTGTGCTGTAATGAACAACATATCTTGTAAATAAGGAATTTAGCGTAGGTCCGCCTAAAATTTCCTTTTTGATTATAGCATATACCGCTACAGTATTTCTTCTTCATCTTCTTCGAATTTAACATACTACTTATAATTATTCATACTATTACAGTGCTCACGTTATACGCTTAATTGATAATACGATCAGGTTGCTGATTATTTGTTATATATGAAGTTAGTTGTCACATCCTGATTCCTCATATCGTGGAGAGATATTCCTCCTCCCTGAAGTATCTGAAAGGGGAACTGGTTTGAGTGTCGTTTAGACGACGTGTGGGGGTGACCACAGACTTCAAAAGATGGTCTTCATATACAATCTTTTTGTGAATAGTTTTCTACGTGCTAGCTTCGCAATTTCCAGTCCTACTGCCTGCTAGATATGTTATCTTAGGACTGACCTTTTCTAACTCCTCCCTCCGCTGTAGAGATGGTACGCAGCTGCAATCGCTAGTTTCCTACCATCACACCGCAGTATAGTTGTCAAGACGAATGAGTTTTTAATATTACCACTCTTCAACCGACCTGCCTCGTACACTAAGACCTAGGGTAACCAGTATTCCAGCCAATATATCTCGATTGAGTCATAACAATATACAAGTTTCAAGTCAAAATAGCAGCCATGGTCAGGATTGGTTGTCTGATAACGGATAGATTCAAGATATTAAACGTTAAGAATTTGTTTCGTATGGCTAAATGCTGTGTTCATCTAAAGATAATGATATTCATATGAAATATGCAAAAGCTTCATGACAGTCAAATCACAATTTGAGACTTGACTCTAAGGGCAAACTGTATGAAGAGGTATGATTAATTAAAAGGAATTTGTTGTGTTTATTTTTAAAGAAATGAAGTTCCCCGAAATAATCGATTGGAATCAGTTTTAATTAATATATCTGAGTACTAAGTGTATATACATATTGACGATTTTAAGCCACAATTTTTGTTTGAGGACCCAAATATATTACTGGGCGGGATAGACAGAAGTAATTAGCTTTAGGTTTAAATCAGGAAGTCTTAACCATTCAGTCACTTTTAGTTCAAGCTGAAAAACCAGATAATGAAGCTAGCAAAAGAAATATAGGAGCACTTAAACTAAGGTTTGCCATCAAACTGTTAAGTCTCTGAGCCTTATCGGTAGATTCAGATTACCTGATTGGGTTACTCTGAATAGTCAGTGGTTAGAGTGGTTTGCTTATATAGTTCAGAATCAGTTGCATTTGTCTGGATGTACTAATTTTTTTATATCTCCCTACATATGTTTAGCTTCACTTTTATTTAATATATTTAATCCTGCAAGTTCATTGCTTCTTTTCGAAACAAATCCTCTAAGTTTAATTTTTCTACTATCACTGATACCTTTGTTATTTCAAATTATTTGCTAATCATCATGTTATGTCACCACGCTATGCTACTGTAATAAACCAGCTTGGTGTGGTTCACATTTGTACCAGGCTTTACGCTGATCATAACTGATTAACTAAGTCCTCCACTCCATTAATTTCTTGCGCATAAAGTGGCTACAATAGTCACTTTTTTCACGTTTACTTGGTTTATAGTAAGTAATATTAGTGCATATTGTAATGTATATGAAACAGACTAGTCAAGAATAACGATAATTGTACAATTAACCTGTAGTTAAGGTGTCTCAGTTCAAATTTCATATCTAAAGCTATACCAGAATTAACATATATATGTTTATCGCGTTTTTTTGTCTGTGTGTGGTTAACACTATCCAATTGCCTAAATTGTACTGGCATTATACCGGTCTAAAACGTCTAACACTTTGAATGCCTAAACCATTGATATCGATCAATTATATAATCCTCATAAAACTGCATTGTGTAGTCTAGAAAGTGGGGAAGGGTGTTGAAAATATCCGAAGGGTACATTTTTTTTACTATAAGTAAATCAGTTGAATCATCGCTAGAAACGACATTTACAAAAAAATGGAGATTAAACAGTCACTATCGTATATCATAGGGTAAAAGCTAATAATAAAAATTAATTCCACATATATAAACATTCAAGTTCTTGATATTGTATAATGATCATTCAATATCATCATTGGTAATATGTTTCACTTTTGTTATGACGGGATGGATATTGTAGAAGTTGGAACTAGTTTTCGAACTGTATATCAAATTTGTCACGAGCTTTCGGTAGACTAATTAATTTCGTTTGTACGATTTACCGTTACTGTTTTGTTGCTAGTCTATTACCTAAAGCCTCCCCTATTCACAGCCTTTTTTGGCTTGTCTATGTATTATTGTTATTTTTCATTTTATGTGTGAGTCTGATATATCTGTATACAAACAATGTCTGTTGGAAATGTAATTAGAGTCTGGCTACTACTTCTGGACACAAGGTAGGCCACAGAGAGAAGCTAGAGAACAGTGAACCGATAGGAACCTGGGTGCCTGCTCAAAGTTTATAGTGCTGGT